AAGCCCCCATAATCCAAGGGGAAATGATTAGTGACCTGCTACACCACTTAGACACACACAAGTCTGTGGGGCAGGATGGCATCCACCCAAGGGTACTGAGGGAGCTGGTGGAAGTGCTCACCAAGCCACTTTCCATCATTTACCAGCAGTCCTGGCTAACCAGGGAGGTCCCAGTTGACTGGAGGTTAGCAAACATGACACCCATCTACAAGAAGGGCCAGAAGGAGGATCTGGGGAACTACAGGCCTGTCAGTCTGACCTTGGTGCCAGGGAGCGTTATGGAGCAGATCATCTTGAGTGCCATCATGTGGCACATACAGGACAACCAGGCGAGGAGGCCCAGTCAGCATGGGTTTATGAAAGGCAGGTCCTGCTTGACCAACCTGATCTCCTTCTGTGACAAGGTGACCCACTTAGTGGATGCGGGAAAGGCTGTGGATGTTGTTTGCCTTTGACACCGTTTCCCACAGCATTCTCCTGGAGAAACTGGCTGCTTGGACGTGTGTATGCTTTGCTGGGTAAAACAGTGGCTGGATGGCTGGGCCCAAAGAGTTGTGGTGAATGGAGTTAAATCCAGTTAGCGGCCGGTCACAAGTGGTGTTCCCCAGGGCTCAGTGTTGGGGCCAGTTCTGTTTAATATCTTTATCAATGATCTGGATGAGGGATTTGAGTGCACCCTCAGTAAGTTTGCAGACGACACCAAGGTGGGCAGAAGTGTTGATCTGCTTGAGGGTAGGAAGGCTCTGCAGAGGGATCTGGACAGGCTGGATCAATGGGCCGAGGCCAATTGTGTGAGGTTCAACAAGGCCGAGTGCCAGGTCCTGCTCTTGGGTCACAACAACCCCATGCAACATTATAGGCTTGGGGAAGAGTGGCTGGAAAGCTGTCTGGTGGAAAAGGGCCTGGGGGTGTTGGTCGGCAGCCGGCTGAATATGAGTTGGCGGTGTGCCCAGGTGGCCAAGAAGGCTGTACCAGAAATAGTGTGGCCAGCAGGACTAGGGAAGGGATTGTCCCGCTGTACTCGGCACTGGTGAGGCTGCACCTCAAATCCTGTGTTCAGTTTTGGGTCCCTCACAACAAGAAAGACATTGAGGTGCTAGAGCATGTCCAAAGAAGAGCAAGGAAGCTGGTGAAGGGTCTAGAGAACAAGTCCTATGAGGAGTGGCTGAGGGAAATGGGGTTGTTTAGCCTGGAGAAAAGGGAGACCTTATTGCTCTCTACAGCTACCTGAAAGGAGGTTGTAGCGAGGTGGGTGTCAGTCTCTTCTCCCAAGTAACAAGCAATAGGAAAAGATGAAATGGCCTCAAGTTGTGCCAGGGGAGGTTTAGATTGGATATTAGGAAAAATTTCTTCACTTAAGGGGCTATCAAGCATTGGAACAGGCTGTCCAGGGAAGTGGTTGAGTCAACATCCTTAGAGGTATTTAAAAGATGTGTAGATGTGGCACTTAGGGACATTGTTTACTTGTGGACTTGGTAGTGCTAAGTTTATGGTTGGACTTGATGACCTTAAAGGTCTTTTCCAACCTAACAATTCTATGATTCTATGATTCTAAGTGACCCAAATATAATCCACAAGTATGCAAATGTTTGTGTAAAATAATAGTCAACATCATATAACTTTCAGATCAGGTTGACACCCATCTCCTCATAGCTGAGTAGAGTGTAGGCTATATACAGGATTTCAGTGTTTGTTAGGAATTATTAAGAATTGCTATCAGCAGTGAAGAATGAATAAACTTGATTTTGACTGAGTGGAGGTACCCAGTATGTGCTATCTCCAGAGGAACCAAAGCAAAGTCTACACATCAGGATTTCTCAGTACAGTAAATTCACTGAGGGCAACCACAGGCATGAGCTGTGGGTTGAGTTTGGTAACCTTATCTCAGAGCGACTACGGTGTGTCCTTGTATCTAGGAGTAGCTCTTGGACATTAGCTATTCACTCACTATGAGGGCCACCCCTCATATCTATAACCCTGACAGTTTAAATTGTAAGAGTAAAGTAAGTCTGTGTTGCTGTGAATCATGTTGCTTTTGCAATTTTGCTCCCATCAGTTAAACAAGCAGGTCTTGTTTTCTATTGACTGAAAGTAGTGACTTATATTTTTAGCTGATAATTCTCTAAAAGCATCTAAGTCCAGCTAAATATCCTCACTGAGTTCAGACTGCTGACTTCACGAAATGATTGGGGTTGGAAGGTACGTCTGGAGGTCATCTGTTCCAATGCCCTGCTCAAGCAGGGCCACCTACAGCCAGTTGCCCAGGACCATGTCCAAACAGCTTTTGAATATCTCCAAGGCCAGAGAGTCCACAACATCCCTAGGCAACCTGGGCCAGTGCTTAGTCACCCTCACCGTAAAAAAGTGTTTCCTGATGTTCAGACAGAAGCTCCTGTGTTTCAGGTTGTGCCCATTGCCTCTGGTCCTGTTACTGGGCACCACTGAAAAGAGCCTGGCTCTGTCCTCTTTGCACCCTCCTTTTGGGTATTTATGTACATTAATGCGATCCCCCACCCTGAGCTTTCTTTTATGGAATTACAATGCTGTGACCTCAGACTGTGTCTGTGGCTTCCCTCTGGTATAGAAATGTATTAACATTTCAGTGTGAGCAGTGACAATCAGCACAAAAAGGACATCATCCCTGGGTTTGGGCTGTATAGATGTGCATGTATCAACTTAACAGGAAAGAAGAGGTAAAGTGCTCATCCACTGTATAATCCCAAAGGTACCCTCAGCATATTTATGGTCTTCAGCATTTATATGCTGAAGGAAGGGTGCCCTTTCTTTACTGAAAGGCTGATGGAATATCTGGACTGACTGGGGTAGTCCATGAGAGTAGCCTTTTATGGCAGACACTGTCATCTTTGCAATTAATGGAATAGTAGTAGCAGGCAAGGAAACAAGAATACCATGGACAAAGATGTAGTTACTAGAGTTGAAGGGAAGACAACAGGTTTGTTTTGCATCTGCTTTCCAGATCTGAAATGGAAAGTTTTTGTTTCACACTGCAATGAAAGCATAGCCATGCAAACACTTCCACAAGTGCAGCCTTCCTTCAAATATCCATCCAGAGCTTGCAGCCTTAGTCTTCTGAATCTTGAGTAGGTGAAGCAGGCTTTGGCTGATATTGTAGCATTCCCACATTTGATTTCCTGCCTGAGTTAGAGCAGGGGTTCTTTCAAGCCAATGTCTCCTGTGATATTGGCTGATGTTGAAAGTGAATGTATGGAGGGAAAAAATTTCCCTGCAGTATGACAGCAAAGACCCACCACTTTCCACCTACTCTTTTTGGTAATGTTTTGAATCTACCGTACTTAAGCATTTCCAAAGTTATTTTGTGCTGTGCTTCTCTCCAAAATAAATCTCTTGACTCTGTTTTGAAAGTGCTGCCATGGCTATCTCCTGTGTCATCTCTGGCAGCGACCTCATATCCCTTTCTCATGAACATCTCTGGCGTGCTCAAAAGAGGGTATCCCCACAGACTGGGAAATGTTGCCAAATATGGAACAGATACAGACATAAATGAGCAGAGCTAAACACAACTCAAAGGAATGTGATTACCTGTTTAATTTGGTTTCTAGCATTTTCCCATAGGTTAAAAAAATCATTTAACTGATTATGAAGACAATATATTGTTCATGACTAATACAAGAATTTTTTTCTCTTAGTGTACAGGTCATTTATCACCACTCTGTTGGAATTTATGCTTATATCCAAATTTTACATAATTATGAAGACATAGATAGGTGAAATATAACTCATTCATGACAAATTAATACTAGATATTGTGAATTAGCAAAGGTGTCCCTCAAAGATCCTTCCTTCATCTTTTAAACGTGTATACAGGCAGCATCATAGGAAGTGGCAGCTGGCAAAAACAAGTGACACCGGTGCTTTGCACGTAACATAACTTACATGCTCTTACTGCAGATGAATCTCTTAATATCTCGCTCTAATGAAAAAGCGCATTGCTAGGATAACAAACTTTCAACTGACTCAGCTTTTTACTCAAAATAGGTGTCTGCCTTTGCATACGGTGATCCTGGGGAAATTTTGTGAAGACTTTGGATGTACAGATCCCCTCACTAAGCTGCCACTGTGATGTCTGGGTTGGGATGCTACAGAAAAAGAGGGAATGACCTGGGATGAGCTTCACATGACTCAAGTGCCATTTAAATGAAAAGAGCTAGGACAAGCCTGCTCATTTTTCCCATACCAGACTTTACAAGCATCACTTAGCCTCAGGAGGGGAGTTCTGGGACTATCTCTTTCCATCTCTCTTGCTTCACTGTATCTTTATCATAGCAAAACCTGTAGTTGCTATTTGATGATTATCACCTCACTGAGGCCACGTGCTCAGCGTGAAATATCTGTTCTGTTTTCAGCTATCAGAATTATAGTTAAAGAATTACACAGAAGAAAGCTAAGCCCAGATCACTGTTTTTTTCTATATAAGCTATTCCAAAATCTATAGGAAGAGCCTTCCTGTCTGATTTGCCAGTAAAGTTTCTTTTCCTTTAATGAGAAATAAGTGCATAAAGCAGAGGTACACTAATGGCTTATAAGCTTCTTGCAATAAACATAAAAATTAGGAGCTGAGATGCAGCTATTAACTTATATAATAAATTGCAAATAGACATAAAAAAGAATGGTTATAACTCTCGGTCAGAAGTCATAGCTGACTTAAAGTCGTAGTTGGACTGATAAAATACAGCTCAAAGTTGCTGCACCTTAAACCATCACTTTCAGTTATTCAGATAACTAATTTCAAAGTGATTAATAGATTTCTCCTCTTATTTTCCAAAAGGGCGCAATAGTCTTTCTATGTTTGTTCTTCAAGTTGAACATATAAATTCCTTATGAAATCTGACATACCAAAGCTGCTTGGTAAGAGTTCAAAATGCTAGTAGAGACAGAGAGGTTAACTAAAATATTTAAAAAGTTATGTTTCCTAGTGCAGCTTCACCTCGTAGAGGCTATGGTCATTTCACCGTTGCTGGTTACAATTCTGTCTGAATGAGGCGTAGTGCTTTCTTCATGTTCTCTATTACTGAAAGAAAAATGAATAAGAACTGTAAAAACATACTTAAAGTGCATTTGTACAATTAAAAAACCCACCTAGTTTGATTAGTAAACTGTTTACACTGAAATTAATTTATGATCACACATTCTATTTTAGAGCTTTCTATTGTGAAAATTCTGGCATTGATACTAAAGCAGAAGGTTAAAAGTTTCATGAATCAAAATGTTTAACTTAAAGGGATTTGACAAGACTCCTTTCAAGTCCCTCATTTCTCAATAGCAAGTCTGGTAATCAGATGATGTGCATATTTGTGGGGAGATACCGCACTGGTGTCAGATAGATGGTATAGAGTAAGGACTAGCTCAACCTGAAAAATCACATTCTTTTCTGAAATATGGGTGTTAGGCGGTACTCAGGTAATCACCAGCATTTCTCTACCAATTCCCTCCCACCACTGGCTGTTTACACTGCGCAGCTGGATACCTTTCAGCATAGTGACATTCACTGTTTCCCAGCAAACTGCTCAGATCTTGATCCTGAAAGTTCTCACCCATGATCTTTCAATTTGTCTTACCCGAATAGTCCCAATAAATTCAATGGGACAATAGTTGTGCTTAAGTCTTTTGCTAAAACAGGTTAGACTATTATAATTTATTGCAAATGGTCACTCACAGTCTTTATTCATTACTTTGAGATCTCAACAGATTCTCAAGCACAAATGATTGGGATGGGGTGTAGCTGGCTGCTTACAATGTGAAATGCAAACTAACACAACAAAGAGGGCACTTACAGAATGGTATGTCTTGTGGTTCATAAGTGTAAAGCCGGTTGGAGTATCTTCCTGTGATATCAGCTCTTACTGTGAGAGATGGATCTGGAAAAATAATTGTATTCAACCCTGCTTTCCATTCCCACAACAGCTGAGGGCGGTGTCTGTGGCACTACTTTGACAGCCCTGTTTCTGAGGTGTTTTGATTTCATCAATGAGGCAATTGCTAGGCCATTATGCTCTGTTCCAACCAACTGGTCTTTAATTGGAGAAATCCTGAACAAAAGCTAATGCAGCTATTTTTAAGTGATAGATTACACATGTATTTAATCCCTATTTAAAGAAAACCATCCTGTTTTACAAGTTCTGGGGTTACATCAGGAGAGGACAGTTTGACTGGATGCACACATAGTGAGGGTCATGTATATCTAATGCAATATTAGCATGACCTACCTAGAGCCTTCAGAATGAAAATCTTGTGATTGTTAATGTTCACATCATGGGAGCAAGCTGTTGTGGACATCTCGTCTCCCAGTTCCCCTTCAAAGCTTTTTGTTAATTAACTGACTCCCGTTACTACATTGCTCTCTGTCTGAGTGTGGGCTTCATCTCACCTAACTTTGGATGCCACCACGGAGCTAGTTACTCTAGGCTCCCTGTACAGTCAGTGAAAAGGAACAGGCACTCTGGGGCATGATTAATTTGATCTATTCCAGAAGTCAACTTTACGATGGGATAAATCATTCCTTAGATGCCACTGACTATTGACTTGCTCTGTGGCAATGTCCGCACTGTAGACATCTACATTCAGTCAGATATTTGACTGCTTTCAGTAAACTTTGTCTGAAAACAGCACTAGCAAGAAGCATGGAGAGCAAATGCTCAGATGCTAACAGAAATTTAAGCATCTTGCCCCCAAGCACAAATTATGTACCCTCCAGAACATACCTGTAACCTGAGGAAGTTTACGAGGGTGAAAGCCTGCGACAGAGGGAGAACTGAACTCAGATTTGCCAAGTTCCAGACTAATGCCATGGTAATGATAAATTTTGAGCTATTTTATATTTGCAAAATGAACCATTTTGATGTCTGCAAAGGAGGACACTGGTGTAGATTCTGATATCATGTCTTTGAAGATACGTAAATATTATACATACCTACAAACATGATTCGAGGCACATATTGTCCATCAGGAGACAGGTTTTTATCTGTGGTTTCATGCTGGCAGAGAAATTAAAGCTAGTTATCAAAATATTTCTGTAAATTTTGCTGACGTAGTACCACCAGTGAATAGTCTTTTACCAGAGGACAAAACCAGAAAAGGTACTACTTGTATGTGGATACACATGCACATGCCTGTACTTACGTGTAACTGAAATGCCAGAGATATTTAGCTAATATGACATGAAAAAGCAAGACAAAGAAAGAGAAAACACAGGCCAAAAAAAAAAGATACCAGTCAAATCGCCCCAAACCCTTCATACCATGAGATTCAGCATAATGAAGTTATTTTGGGCCATTTCCTGTATCTCTTCATTTTCTGCAAAAGCTTTCTTCAGGGCTAGAAAAGACATGATCATTTTGAAGTCCATCTCAAACTCTGCCTCTCCATCTGTGTTTAGGCACCACATTGGCCAGAGACTGGCCACATTGTTCCCATCTCTGCTGATGCACATTCCTGAGGAGACACTTAAGGGCTCTATCACTGCTTTTTGTTTTTTTGACCCATGTCAGTACAACCTCCCGGCTATGAAAATGGAAGCTCTTTTCTGTTATTTATGAAGCCTGTCGTCTCAATGGACACCATGTCTCAGCTTGACAAAAGTGCATTATTCTCAGAAAATTCTTATTAGATCGATTTCAGCAGCCCTGTCCTCATCTCCTTCTTTAGTTACCAGTTCAGGAGAGCCAAACAATATTAAATCTGTTCAATGAGTCAGTAGCAAATCTGTGTCTCTTAATTTAAACTGACGAGCGCTGCATTAGGGATAGCAGGACAACAGCACTGAGTATTTTTCATGTTCTTTGTTGGGTAGTTTTATAGTGGAGTTTTTGTAAATAACAGTAATAAATCCTTAGCTTTTCAAATACATTTTCATTAACCTATTTCTTTAAATGATTTTCAGTAAGTGCAAGGTAAATATATAGATAGGTGCAGTTTCTTATAAAAATATTCACAAAATTTTAACACTCCAAAAAAAATCAAAATTACCTTGGCAGTATTGACAGTCTTCCAAATGATGAATTACCATCAGTGGCTTGTTACTTTATTAGTAATAATAAAACATGTAGTTAGATCATTTGACAAGTATGCAAATGGTTGATTTTATTAGCAGATCAGAAAAGGCAAATTACATTTAATATTATATTAAGTCACAGTAAAACCATACAGGCATTCTGTAAAGAATTACAAACATTTCTGAGCAAGGGAAAAGAAAATAATTCCTTTGTAAAAGAAAGAAATAGAGAAATAGAGTTTCTGTATCTAAATAGGTTTTCTAAAGTAAGAGATTCTAGAAGAAAGAAACAACGGAGCCATCATAATTTCATTCCCAGTTAGTATATAATCAAGCTGAAGAGGTATTTAATAGTGCTTAGGTGTGAAGTTCTCCATGATTAAGAAAATAAAAATAATCTGTATGAACTGGAATAAAATAATTTTTATAAAATTGGGTTTATCATCAAATACTTCCCATGAAAAGATTCATGTCTTTTAAGCTTTCTTGAACAGATATACAGTAAATTATTTTTTTCTGTAAATAGTGTGGTAAAGTATCAAAATTTTATATATTTGGATGCCAAAACATAAAACAATTCCGTGCATTTTGTCTTTTTTTTTTTTAAACTACTGTTACTACTCAGTAAATCAGTTACTAATACTTGATCTGTTATCACTCTCAAGAATTGTTCAATTCTAGCCATTTTCACATAGGGCACATGAAATTAATTGCCTTTTATTTTAAAAATGATTTGCCTTCAATTTAACAATAACTCGTGCTACATACACTATTATGCTGTAAAATGCAGTGAGAAACTGCGAGTACATCATGCACATATGCCAACTAATGAAGTGTGTTGGGGAAAACCTCAGAAGCAGTAGACCACCATGCAAGAGAAAATATAACTGATTTCCAGGTGTTGATTAAGGAAGTAATCAGAGGTACATGATATTAAAAAAACCCCACAACAGGTGTATTTTTAAAATTTTAATAGCTATTTATCACTGCTTAATCAAATGACAACAATGGTGTTGTGACAAAGAAAGGACAGTGTTAAACTATCAGCAAACGATGTTGCTTCAGAGTCATAAGACCCCTAGACCAGCTTTTATTTATAGACACAAAATCTGTTTTATTTAACTGGGTGATCTGCAGATCATCTGTCATAGTGTTTCTTTGTTTTGTTTCATTATAGTATATTCAGGCATTACTAACAACTTTGTTTTACAAACTATTTTTTAATCTCTTACCTTTTTTTCGCTTGATAAAGCCCTTCTTCATAAGTTTGTACCCAGGTAATTTCATCTCCCCACCCTAGAAATACAACAAAAGGATTAACTGGTAGCCAGGCAAGTGACTCATAACAAATTCCTTTTTTTTTCTTTACTTATCAATAGTTGTACACAAATAGAATTTGGATTTTTTAGTCAAAGGTTCCCAAATGCTGTGGATATGCTAATTCTACATCTCCTGATAGGTGCACCGGAAGATTTAAAAAAACCCCAACTACCAAAACCCCCCAAACCCCTCAGATGGTTGTGTATCCAGTTCAATTCCTTTGGCAAACCTGTTGGATATCTTTCTAAATACTCAGAGGTCCCTAAATCAGCACTCAAATCCTTTATATCTCTACCTTGTCTGCTCTGTATTTCATGTAGACCCTGGGGCTTAAAGAGAAAGTTGGCTTATAAAAGAGAGAAAAATAAAATATGACAGCTCAAATAAGATCAGCTTTAATATGAATGTCGTTAGAACAGTCTTGGCTTGTAAACTTAACTCCCAAGTAATGAATTTCAATCCCCTGGAGTTGCAAGTGCTTCATTTAATTGAATAATTTAATAAAACAATGGCTGTTAAATAAAAAGCTCCGCTGAAACAAAATGCTAATGAATCATCAGCTTCATAGCTCATCCATAGCTAGTGATACACGGATCTCAAAAAGCAAATTGCCTAGCTGGTTTCATGCCTTCAGATCCCAAGACGCCAGCCCCTGTGTAGTAGATCCCTGCCTCCCAGGCAGTGTTGCTCCATTCATGACAACCCTCATGGGAGTTGTAGAACAAGTTCTGGATCTGGACCAGGTTAAGGCTCTGTTTCTTCTGTGCTGTCTGGACAGCGCTTGGACCAGCCCCGGTTATGTAGAGATTTGCTGTTAGCTTTCTCACAGAACAATTGCTTGTGACGCTACTTGGTCATCTCTTCTTTCAGGAGAGTGATTTTGATTACAGATCTGTCTGGTTGATGGTGGGATTCTGGCGTGTTGACCAGTGTGTTCCCAGCCCTGGCTGAAGTCAACTGCTGACGTAGGTAACTGCACAGAGGAGTCAGCAAGGGTCATTTTGCAGCAGGTTTAAGTATTCCCCTCTGATCTGTGAAAATTACAGGTAAAGCGCTCAAGGCATCCCAAAAGGCCTGAAATCAGAATTAGAAAACTGACACTTGTTTTCTGTGACTATTTTTTTCAAAATTGCCAGAATTTAAGGATTTTGTTATCTTTTTATGCATTTAGGCTTACTGAGAAAAATAAACCCTGATCTAGGCAAGATAGGCAATAGATACCACATTGATTATAACTTTTCTCCAGGGATACCACTTACGAGAAGTGATTTGCAATTTCTCTTTGGTTAGTCCAGGTGTCACATCATTTTGTCAAGTGCTCCCTGAGCAATTAGGCTCAGATGGGATCTCTGTGACAGGTGCGGCTTTGCCAGTGCCTTGTATGGGACGATCTCAGAGGTGAGTTGTGCAGTCTGTAGGCTTTGCACAGCTTGCAGAAGAGGTCAGAAAGGGAGCTGGAGATTTTTGGGGGTGAATAGGCCCAAAAGGATAGGAAGGATGGAGAAGAGGAAAGACCTTGGTAAGTTATTTCTCTGCTTGTATTTCTAAGGATTCATCAGACATAAATAACTTAAAATAGGGTCTTCAGTTAACATCCAAGTTGAAAATTATGTACCACAAGGAAGTGAATTATTCACTGCAAAGCACGACTGTGCTAGCAAAAGAAGAAAAATATCACACAGAAAAATCCACCAGTGGCTCAAACTAAAGCAACAGGTTTAGCTGCATGGGTTCGTCACCTGGTGCAGTGTAAATCAATGTGTTAGTGGTATCCTAACAATCTATACTACAGTTTGTTCTGTGTATAAAAATGGGTATGTAGAAAAATAGTTCCATAGTAACTGAAGTTATGAAACTGTAATAAAATATCTTTTAAATAGTATATGAAGGAGTATTTTTTCACTGATAGTCCTAAAGGTGCATCCTCATTTGAGAGACTCAGTTTAGGTTACTTGCTTCTGCTAGGTCACCGTGAGTTATATAAATTATGCAGGTTATATGAGGCCCTCAGCCATATCCTTAAGAACAAACTGACGGAGTGAAACGCCATGGAATGAGAAGATGCACTACTTGGAGTGTCACTTTACACTAGCGAAACACACCTCAGTAAGTATATATGTGCTTCTATGTACATTCTAAATAAAAACATTTGCTGACCTATATGGTAAGATAAAGAGGTAACTACATACAGTAAATATACAGTACCTCTTGACAGTGTCTGAGGTGCTCGTTTTTCCTTTTTGATTGCCATCGCAAGGTTGGAAGAGACTGCAATTAGCAGGAGGGACAAGGCCAATGTTGAATGGACCATTATTTCCCTTTCAATGCAGTAAAGAAACTGGAAAACAAAGCAACAGCTTTAGTTGCATGGATTTGTCACCTGGCGCAGTGTAAATCAATGTGTTAGTGGTATCCTGACAATCTATAATACGGAGACGGTTTTGGTTATTTCTAGAAATGCCTTTCTTTGTGAGAAAAGTGCAAAATGGAGGTGCGTAATTTTATCACAGAACACTGCTTTCAGCTGTCAAAATTAGGCTGCAGGGGATGGTTCTCACTACAGTGTGATCAGGGGAACAAAGTTCATTTCAGTTCATTTCTGGTCACCCAGCATTTGATTTTTATGAACTAGTACAATGTTGTAATACTGAATTATGACAATTTCATGATAGTGCTACTATTTGTTTGTTCTATTAGTTTTTTAATTTCAGTGAAACGTAACAGCGTGGGATCTTTTTTGTGGATAGTAGGTTTTTTGTTCAAAAGATGTCTCATGATATCCTCAATAAAATAGGAAAATTGACAAATATTTGCCTCCAGGTATAATACATTTTAAATGGGCAAATCCCTCCAGAATGTTGAAATTGCCATGATTTTTTTTTTTTTAGCCTGCACTCTGTGAACCAGGATGTTAAAGATTATGAGATAAATGTCAAAGAAATTTCCAGCTGTTTCTCACAATGAAAACTCAAAAAATTTCCCCATTTTTCCCCTCGGCTCAACTCCTGCTGAATAAAACAATCCATCTGTGCTCCTGACTGTTTCAGTGTTCTGAAGATGTTTGCTTCTCTTCCTGACAAAGAACACTATAAGAAATTCAGTAGCTTCTGGTCTTGATAGAAATCAGAGAATGAAAGCAATGCTTGAGGAAAAGCATTACAAAGCCAATTTTTTTTAATTGATGAGTTGTCTTTCTGCCCGGTACAATCATCTTTAGGCATTAAAGCTCTGATATTCAGGTGGATACCTGATGGTGTGAACTAAGTTAAAAAATATAATGCATGTAGCCCACGATACCACCCAGTGAGCTTATCAGTTCTTGCTGGAGATTCCACTTTTCAGAGGTTGAGCTTTAGGAGTTACCAGGATGACCCATTGAGAAAGTGCTTTGACTTAAATACAAAAAAAAAAAAAAAAAAAAAAAAAATCCCCCCAAACACTTGTGCCTGTATTGATAAAGCAAATTTAAAACTTGAGTTTAAAAGTGATATCTAGTATGGAAATACAGCCCTGAGCACTGCCAAAGAAGATGCTTCATGCTCCTTAGGACAGAGAGGCATAAGAAGTGCAGCAGCTTCCTTACTTCAATGAATGTCTCAACATAACTAATATCACTGTTAACAGTTCAATTTCTAGTGAACAAATTCAAACTCCACTTCCAGTAACTGGCAATCTCAATACAAGTAAAGAATTCTGTACAATTGACTGGAGAAAAATTTGCATGTTAAAATGTGCAAAATTCTAGAAAAAATTAAGTATCATCGTGTAGTAAGAATCATATATTTCTGAAGAAATTTTCCTAGGTTGCTAAAGTAATTAATACATTCATTATAACATTTTTCTCCTCAGACTTGTCCACAACAGTTCCCTTCCCCCCCACATGGCATCACAGCTCTAAAGTTGTTCTTTGTTTCACATCCTTCCTTAGGCTTGTTCATGTTAGCTAGTGTTGACTGAGTTTTAGAAGAGAGTCTCCTTTGGATCTTACTAATTATGCACATTAATTAGATGATTGGAGATTATCAATGTTTAATAAGAAAATGTGAAGTTTTCCAGTGTTTTCTAAGGAGAGACTATAACTTTTAGTTAAATCTGGGGGTTGAGAATTTCTTAGTAATAAAAATTCCATTCAGATTTTCTCCCATGTTTGTGCAGACCACTAACTTCAGTCAGCAAAAGCAGATCAGTACACCCTACTGCTGTACTCTTGACGAATGAGTATTTGTAGCAACTCTATGTGAAAGTTAATAACTACCCTTATAATCAGTTTACCTATTAGATGTTAACAATAAAATCTAGCATTTATATTGACATGTTAAAATGCTATTTAAACATAAATAGTTATGGCTTTGAAATCACACTAAAGCAGGTATGGAATGCGTGGATCAGTTCTTTTTTTTGTGATGTATTCATAAAAAAATCAAAGTGTACATCTCTTCAAGTCACAAGATTAATTATCTGAAGCTTAAATAATTGATTATCGTCCTACTGAAAACCAATAGGGTTTTAGAAGGATAATTTAGGGAGCTGTAGCTGGAGGCAGTTTACATTCAATATTCTGAATTTTTGATGTTACATGATCCAATGCTAGTTAACTGATTAAGAGAAAAAAATGACAGCCAACACTATATAGATTGCCTTCATCTCTCTGTCAGAATAAATGTTTTGCCAGCTAATCTCTAAGCATCTGTCAATTGTCTTTTTTTGTATAGCTAGGCTTGTAATGCATTTGTCAACCAAACCTCATTGCTGTAATAAAGGAAAGTTAAGAATGAGAAATACTTGCTCACCAGCAGCGATCAATTCTCCTGATGGAAGGTCCTTTTTCTGGAACTGGTTAGTTAAAAATCAGTGTGATTTAAGCACAGAACACCTGAGCTGCCCAGGTGCAACAACAGCACATTCACCTGGGAAAAAATGAGAGGAACCTTTTAGCTGAAAACGAAATTCACGTGTTTCCACCCTCCCCCTTCTTTTTCTGCCATCCCTCCAACTTTTGCTTTTGTGAGTTCCCATGCTTATACACTGAATCCTTGGATTTCTTTTTGTCTTGGCTTGTATCAGGTGTCTTGTATGAGGACTGGAAATAAATAGTGGCTTATGTGTGTCTGCTACTTCCCCCCTCAGACAGTTTGAGTCTGGCTTATGTCCAGTGAAAAAAGAAACCACCAATGAAAGCTGGAACTGTAGGTGCTTTTGTTCCCAGTGAATGCCTGTGTTCACTGGTGCTTGAAGATAGGTATGAACCTAATAGGAAGACACAAGGGTTACTTTGTGTAGAGGACTGTAATTAACAAATAAAATGAACTTTTTTTTTTTTGAGGGGAAATAAAATTATTTATTTAAAGAATATGGTTTCAAGTATCTGATTATTGCTTCTGTGAGTTGTAGTTTAAAAATGGTCTGATTCTTTGGCCATGATGCTTCATATAATTTTGACCTAACTTGACTAATACAGGAGAAGTCCTTTATTCACTGTCTTTGCACAAAGAAGGAATTAGCTGGATCACCATTTCCCTCTTCCTTGGATAGCTTTTGCAAGAAAATCACAAGCAATCCTCTTTTTGTTCTTCCTCTCCCATGTATTTGTTTATATGGACTGTATGTTTACAGTTTTTCCTTCTCCTTTTCATGTAAAGTCTGAATTCTTATTTGTCTTTGATGCTTTGATCTCCTGATGGTTGTTGTCACTGACACGTATATCATGAATGACATATGATTCTTGTATTATGTTTTATCAACTATTTTTGTACCAAAAAATGCAAAATGTGACTTTCTGTATTTTTAGTACTGACTTTTCTTTAATATTTGTAATGAAGCATTCAAACTTGCATTTCCAGTTAAAAAAGTATAGTAACTGTATCTAAATCTATAATATGCTTAGCTCTTGCAATGGCTGAAAAAGAAAGGAATGTAGTTTGGTTACAAAAGAAATGCAGGCAGATAATGAAATCAAAGTGCTATATTGCATTTATACATTTAAATTTTAAGCAAATAAAAAAAAGACTATCTGAAGTCAAACGAAGGTTGATTTAGAGAACCTTTCTCCATCCAAACTTTGGGTTTTCACATAGAAATTCCAGGCACTGAAGCTTCAATTCTTCTTACTCTTCAACTAATTCCAGATCATTAAGTAGTTAGAAATATAGAAATTTTCCAAGTGTACTGAAGTGTATTGTTGCTCAACCCTGAGATATTGTCTTCTTCACTGCACAGGTTTCTTATTGTAAGGAGTAAAGGGATAGACATTCAATCAAATAGATTAAAATTAGTGCTGAGCTACCTATGAATGCCTTTTGGCAGGACAATGTTCAGCAATTCGTCTTCTGTGCTCTGTATCCGAAGATCAGAATTTCAGCCTTTGTCAATCTTGCCATGGAGAGGTTGCCAGTCCTGGACAAATAGAGCTCATCAGGGTTTAATACTGGAAGAAAATTACTATAATACTTTATAAATCCAAGCTGGATGCCTGCACTATACCTATACAGTCACTGCTTGTAGGTGGGACCTTATCAGCTCTCTGTCCCTGCTTTCTTCTGCCTGTGTTCAGCATCCACACCTGAACCGAGTGTGAAGCTAGAGCTCATGCTAGCAGAGGTGCCTTCCATCCCAGCCACCAGCTGTACTGCCTAACATTCAAATCACCAACCTGTGCAGCAGCAGTTACCAGCCAAATATGGAATCTCTGCACTGAGCACACATTTCTGCACTCATTCATTGAACTAGAGTGTTCTTGTTCATTGAACTTGGCCAATTTAGTCTCCAGGGTAATGTGGGCAGAAGGTGTTTCCATGTTTCTCTTCCATTCTAAAAGATTCATTTTGGAGGTACGAGTAACTATGGGTTAACAGTGTATATACAGTTGTATCCAGGTCAAAATTAGGAAATGTAAGAATTAGCTAAATATAGGGCAGAGCAAGGCAACAATAAAGCACATGAAGACGACAGACTTCTAGAAAGTGAAAAATTTTGCAGAATGACTGACACTTGGAATCACATGCCACTGCTTTCGTGTGAGTCATGCAGCAGCGGTTTTAGGTATGTATCTATACATATAGCCCATTTATGAAATGTCAAACTGACTTTTAAATTTTGCTTTACATAGTGCTGCACAAATGCTAATTCACAAAAGACCCCAACCGCACTCTATTGATCAATTCCCTGATCTCAGCCTTTCTGTAGCCTCATGAGTGTTTGTTCTGGCACAAGGCAGGGGCTACCCTGATGTAAGGAGCAACAAGCTTATCAGGGTGTAACAGGGCAACCCCATGTGACATTTGCTTTCACTTATGCATAAGTTTAAAGTGATCA